CTGGACTCCTATATAGTTGACCATGATTTTAGACCCTCTGGGATGGGCGGCTTAAAACAAATGCCGGGCATGTGTGCGTACACGTCCAACATCCCAAGAGGAGAATGGAGGAGGAGGGATTGTGGCGTGGCCATCTGCCTTGGGGGTGATTTCTAGTTTTCTGTCTCTCTGTCTCTCTGGCAAGTGCACATGCCCGATTGCAAAAATCTCTGTAATTAAAAGAAGAAGAAGGGGAACAGCAGGTGGTGTGATGGTTAGGTGTGCTTGACTCCCACATGGCCAAACCACAGTTTGAGTCCCAGATCTGGTGGCTTGCTTTCTCACTTTCTCATTTTCTCTCTCTCTCTCTCTCTGGTCAAATTAAAATAAATAAATAAATGGATAAATAAAGTTAAATAAAATAATTCTTTAAAAGAGAAGAAGAAATACATAGAAAAGTATGTCATAATTTTTCTGAAAACCCAATAATTAAGGTCTCAAATTACTTGACTTTAAGTTCATCTAAAAGGAGATTATCTCAGGTGGGATTGATCTGATCAGATGAGCCCTAAGAGGGAGATTCTCTTCCTAGCTTTGAAAAAATGAGCCATGTTTTGACAAAGTGATGGGTTTGGCACCTGAGGGTAACCCTAGGAGCTAAGAGCAATCCCTGCCAATAGACAGTCAGAGTCCTACAACTACAAGGGACCAAACTTTGTCCACAAACTGAATGAGCTTGGGAGAGGTCCCTGAGACCCACAAAGAGTACAGTCTTGCAGACACTTTGATTCCAACCCAGTGAGATCCTGAGTGGAAGACTCAGTTAAGCTCCATCTGGATTTCTGGTCTGTAGAAACTATGAGAAAAATGAAAGAACTACTAAGTTTGTTCATTATGCTAAAGTAGAAAACAAATACACTTGGCTTTATTTATTAATACATTTAACAATTATATATTGAACACTTACTACGTTTCCTAATCTGTTAATCTACCCTGCACTTGGATTTGCAGAGACAGTTAGGTTTCCTTATACTTTGTGTAACTGAATTTATATGAGCCTTTACCAAATGGAGTTAGTGTGAGAGAGGAAAATTTAAACTTGTCAGGACCAGCAGATGGCATAATGGTTATATCGCTGAACTCCCACATGGCTGACTGCTGTTTGATTCTCTGATCTAACAGCTTGAAACTCACATGCTGGGTTCACGTGTATACGCTCACGATCCCAGGAAGAGAATGGAGGAGAAAGGATTGCTGACGTGACTATTCACCCCTGGGGGAGGGGTAGTTCTCACTTTCTGTCTCTTCATCTCTGTCTGTCTCTCTAGTAAGCACACATGGCCTATAGCAAAAATCTCTCAGAAAAGAAAAAATTAAATTTGTCAACTAAAATCAGTTCAGTCCCTTTTAATTTAATTATATTTTATCTTAAAGCTTATGTATTTATTTTTTTCTGTGAGACGGAGAGGCAGAGAGATAGATGTACACAGAGAGACAGGTAGCCCCAACAGGTCTCCGTGCCATGAGCTACCCCAGCCTCAGCCAGCCAGGATCACAGGCATACTCATGTGCACCCAGCATGTGCAGAGTGACCTTGGGATGTGAACTGGGCAACTTCCCATGTGGCCTCAGCATAGTGGAACATGCCACTGTTGTTGTCCCACCATGGCTAGCTCCTTCTTATTGTAAATATTTACTTCATGCATGTATTCAGTAAAATTTAAGTCCAGCTTAGGGCCAAATTTAAGTCCAGCTTAGGGCCAGTGTAGCAGTTATGTCACTGGACTCCCACTGTCCAACTATGGTTCAATTCCTGGACCTGGTGGCTTGAAACTCACGCCAGACACATGGGCATACGTGCCCAGGATCCCTGGAGGAGAACGGAGGAGAAGGGATTGTGGTGTGGCCATCCCTCCTGGGGAATGATTTCTCACTTTCCCTCTCACATTGTCTGTCTGTCCCTGGTGGGCACATGCACCCTAAGGCAAAAACCTCTATAAAACAAAATTTAAGTTGAGCTCTACTGGGAACATTTTAATATCCTGTCCCTGTCCCACTTCCCAAGGTGGCATGTTGGTTCCATTGAGAATGTAAGACTTTCTGCATACTCAGGGTGGTAGTGGGGAGAGGGTCCTTGAATCCATGCAGTGACCTCTGTTCCCTCACTGGTCTCCGCTGTGAAGCAGTTGGGCTGGGCTACTCTCTGGATGGTGACCACCACGCTGGGAATGAGCCATCCCTGATTGTTCTGTCAGAACTTGTTGGTGATCTATGGCGGCTATAGTCACGGTCATGTCTCTCTTGACTTCATCTAGGCCTCAAGTGTTCCCTGGATGGGGCTTCCTGAGCCCCTTCCACGTATCCCTGTATTGGAGTTCTACCTCAATGCTTTGCCCACACAGGTCAATGTTAGGAACTCTTGTTCTAACTCATTTTTCTCCCAAAGGCAGCTAAAATACAGCCAGTGCTTTGCCCACACAGGTCAATGTTAGGAACTCTTGTTCTAACTCAGCTTTCTCCCACATTTTTCCTCTTCCATCCCCACCCCACTTCCTTCTGCCAAAGGTACGTGGGAACTTCGGGGTCTTGTCTAACACAAGGCAGCTAAAATACAGCCAGTGCTTTGCCTGATCATAATACGCTACTGAGTTTCTTTTGGTGTGACATCCCTCTCACCACCCCAGTCCTACCCCATATAGCTGCAAGGATGCCAGGCAATCTTCTTCCAGAATCCTAGTTATGACAAAGGGCCAGGCTCCCATAGGCGTATCTATCACATTTCCTTTGATCGATAGTAGACAATTAGACACACGTATCTCATCCCCTCCTTTCCTCTCTCAGGACCCTTCTTTTACAACTCCTTAATGCTGAAGGCAGCAAACTTTCATACTTTGTAAATACATAGATACTGAAACTCTATCTACCCACCCATCTATGTACATCCACCCATTTTTCTTCCCACGTGCTATGCTTCACACAGTTTATAAAGCACTGTAAAAATCTCTTGGCCAGGGGCTGCTCCTTGGCTTTGTGCTCACGGAGTGCTGATGGTCCATCTACCTTTGCATATTCTACAGGTGTGTACTCCTGAAGTCTAAGGGGGGGTGGATCTCCCAGCCCATGTCCCTACTCAACTTGGTTAAGGCCTTAATTATTTTCCTGCCACCTTGGCTTCAACTTGGTGTTCTTCGGTTTTGTTAACTCCTGTACCTTCATCTCCTCCTACTTCCCAACCTCAGATCCCTCTGAGCCAAGTAAAGCTTCAACTGGGCCTTTCCTTTCTTTTGTAATCAAGTTTATACGCCATCATTACTGCTTCCTCTGTTATGGCAACTGAGATCTGAATCCTAAATACTTGGTCTTTGGCTTGGTAAAAATGTTTTAAAGTGTAAGGTAACTTTGTGGAAAAAATGGAATTAACATACAAGTTATTTCTGGTGAAAAGATGTTCATATCCATGTATTGCTTTTTCAGAATATGTGTTTTCTGTGATTTTTTTGAAGGCCTCTCATACAAACTTCCTTTAAGTCTGCTACCTCACTGCAAAAAACCCTCCTCTGAATGCAATGAAATAAAAATTAATTTAATTCTCCCTCCATTCCTGGTATAATGATCATAGTATCCTCTGTCCACTCCCAGGAGGCAGCTGAATGCAACGGTTCAGGTAGAAAGCGAGGTACACGGTAATGCGAGGGAAAAAGACACATAACTGTTCTTAAGGCTATTGGTTATGTACACGGAGTGTTTTCCCATGAAGACAGAACAATCTCTGCTTCATGAAGGTTAGAACCTATCAAGGTAGACAGAGATATTAAAAAAAAAAAAAAAGTAAATTTGTGGTGAGTGTCTTAAAGGAAAACAACTGGTAGGAGCATGACCAGGTTGTACAGTAGGGGGAATACTCTGCAAGGGCACAACATTTTATGTGGTCCATTTCTGCTTTTAGTTTCGTTCTTAGCACTGGTCATTCTTTAATGTACAATATGTTTTATGCATTTATCTTATTTATTACTTGTCCTCCAAGTAATGTAATGTAAGCTTTGAGGGCAGATGTTGGGTCAGTCTTACTTGATACTCTATCTTAGCACCAGAATAATTTCTGGTACATAGTAAGCATTGAAAAAAATGTGTGGCAAGTAAATAAATGAATTACTGACACAACTGTTTGGCATTTGGTCCGGAGATTATTTTTTTTTATCAGTTTATTCACCTATTTCTTCCATGAACAAAAGAGTCAGAGAGACTGGGGTGCACCCCCACAAAGTCCTGAGACATGATTTACCCAGATAATAGATGAGTATGTGCCCAGCCACTCAGGGATGTCTCTGGACTTGAACTAGGGATCTTTCTATGTGGCCTTGCAGAGCCTCACATTTTAATTCAGTGCTACCTTACTTATTTAATTCCCTGCCTCATGGTGTTTGCCCCACCTCAGTCCCCTGGAACCATCTCGTAGACCTAACCCAATCCATGCCATCCTAGTCTCACTGCTTCAGATGCTCCAACAACCTGAAACATGCCCTGGGTTGTTTTTAGCTGATGATTCAAATTTTGATCCCTCCTTGATGCCATTAATGACTATGTGTGGGACACGTATCATGTACCAAGGACTGTTCTGGATATTGGGGGACGGTGGCAATAAGGACAATATTCCTGTCTTTATGGAGCTTGCATTTTAAGCCAACCCCCGCCAATAGATGTTATATTATGACAAACACATCCACCTCAATCCTCATCTGCCTCCTCTTGCCACTGTGCAACAGTCACAGCAGCAGTCACCCTGGGGGGCATTCCACGGTTCAAGTGACCACGTGTGGCGTTAGCTAGGAGACTGTCTGATGCAAGTCGCCAGAAAGATACAGAGATTCCTGAGCAGTTCCCCTCAGAAGGAATGATTTAGCTGGGAGGGGCCAGTGAATTCCCTGTTTGTGGCTAAATACAAGCTGGCCATCCAATTTCCCAGCACTGTTTAACTTCCTCTTTACATGATAAGGATTATTGTATTCTAAATTTGTTCCTAGATAAATCGGAATGGCCACTGAGGAAGAATGGCTACATCTGTGAAGGCTATAAAAAGCGATGAAGCACTGTCATTTTGATTCCCATAAGCACATGGTTTTACAGAACTGGATCGCTCGCATTTGGACATGCCATTTTGAAACGTATATTGTACACTCTGAACTGCACACTCCCAGCGTGGCAAATGCCTTCAGGAAGTTAACTGGAATTAGTGATGGAAAAATCTGACAGGTACTCACAGTTCGTACTAATGCCTTGTTTTGGGGGTTCCGATATATTGCAACATATGGTATGAATGAGATTGGAGAGACAGTATTACATACATTCAAAGTATTGAATGATAGGTAAAAGTGTTCTGGGGATAAGAATTTTTACTAGCATATTATAGTTGCTACAAAAAGGAACAGAAATGATATATCTATGGTATTTAGTTATTTAGGCTTTACATTTTAATGAAATGCATTTTCACACATAACTAAACCTTAATAGCTGGTATAGTTTTCATATTTTATGTTGGACCACATAGAATCTTTAGCTAATGAATGCCAGGTGTTTTCCATAATGTTAAATTTCAGTGTAATTATAAATGAAGGATCACAGACCTTTTTAAGGTCTATTTGACAAAAGCGACTGCTCCCATACTGCCTATTACGGTATGATAATTGCAAGCTTTTTCAGAGTAGGGACAGGATGTTATTCACACTTGTTTTTTCTCCTACAGAGCCAGAGCACAAAACACAGAACCTCACATACAGAAGACATTCAGTGCAAGAACTGGCATATAAACAGCTTGGCTTAGGGAAACAGAGGCGTGAGAGTTTAACCTCCACACAAATCACATGAAGATGGATTGCATAAGCACGGACTCTGCAGCCAGACTGCCTGGATACAAATCCCAGTTCTGCTATACTGCATCTCTCTGCTCTGTAAAAAGCGGCTACTAGCAGTACCTCCCTCACTAGTGGTCGTGAGGGTTAAATGAATGAATTAATTAAAACATATAAAGCATTTAGAATGGTGTCTGGCATGTGGCAAGGGCACACTAATATGATCTGCTACTGTGTAAGACAAGCATAGACCCTCAAAAAGAAAATACAGGGGGGGCGGCAGGTGCTGTGGTGGTGAAGAGTGCTGGACTCCCCCATTGGCTGACCATGGTTCAAGTCCCAGACCTGGCAGCTTGCTTTCTCCCTCTCCCTCTCTCTCTCTCACACACACTCTGTCCCTCTCTGGTCAAAATAAAATAAACAAATCAATAAATACATAAAGTTAAATAAAATAATTCTTTTAAAAAAAGGAAAATACAGGATATAGAGAAATGGCCTTTCTGGCCCCTTTCCCTCTATACAGCCCGTTTTCAGACACACACATACTCTCTCTCTCTCTCTCTCTCTCTCTCTCTCTCTCTCTTTCTCTCTCTCTCTCTCTCACACACACACACACACACACACACCTGTGTACAAGCATAAACCCCTCGTAAAACTGAAAAGCAAAGAGATTTCTTTACAGGATAGCAGGAAAAATACTTAGTTCTCCCTCTGGGGATCTTGCCATGCTCTCTGCCCCTTTAAATGAACCCAGCCTGCCCTCTTAAACCTGAGCTGAGATTATGCAAAAGGCTCCTGCCAGGCCTCCAAGCTTTATCCCTGGAATAATTCCAGGTCATTTTCCATCTGCCAGTAATGCTAATCCTTGAATTCAGTGTGACTAGATAAGCTTTTCAGATATTAATGTTTGTGGCTTTCTCTCTGTGTTTTTCTTTTTCAGTGCCCCTGACAACCTCCCTCTCTAGTTCCTCCTCCCCAGCCCTATTCCTGTTGACTTTTGACCTCAGCTATCTGGCTTCAGTGCCTGTTGGAGGTTGGGGAAGGGTTGGGGAATGTAGTTAGGATGGAAAGCAGCAGTAACCTGAGAATTAGTAACCTGGCATTCTTGGCTGTAACTTCAAGCTCAAGACCTATAGGTGGTGTGATGGTTAAGGCAGTTAGGTCCCACATGGCCCACTGCCCAGTTTGAGTCCAGGAATGCACTTGAAAAACATGCAGGGCATGTCTTTGTGTGCCCCAAATCCCAAGAAAATAGAATGAAAGAGAAAGAGAATGGACAGTGGCATGGTTGTCCCTGGGGGAGGGGGTACTTCCTCTCGCTCTCTCTCCAGCAAGTGCACACACCCTAACACAAACTATAAAAAATAAAATAAAATTTTAAAAAGTAATACAAGCCTATAGGATAATTAGGGGTGGTACAAAAGTGGTAGAAAAAATAAGTCAATTTATAGAAATAGAATAGTTTGGACAAAACACAAGAGAAGAAAGATTTTCTGTGTTTTTTTTTTTTTTTTTTTTTTTTTAATAAGAGGTTTGTGCACTTGCTGGAGAGAGAAAGAAAGAGACAGAGACAGTGAGAGGGAAGGTGAGAAATCAACTCCTGAGGGGATGGACTCAAACCACAGGCCCAGGACTCGAATCACAGTTGGCCATGTGAGAGTCCAGCAATTTAACTACTATGCCATCTTCTGGCCCCTTCTGTGGTTTTAAAAACATGATTCTACTGCATAATGACCAGGTTTGCCATCAGAGGGTTTTACCAGTAAGTAAAACCTGACAAAGTCACAGGTTTGTGAGCTCGGTCTAGACAGGCAGGCTGGGAAGCCAGAACCACAGGCATCTCATTAGAGAATCCCACATGCAAAGCTCAGGTTAGAAGTAACAAAAAGTCAGCAGAGAGGGGACACTTGGGCCAAGGTTGTGGTTTCTGCTATGGTTTGAATGTATCTCCCCAAAATTCATGTGCTGACAGTTGGTGATAGGATTAAGGGGGTAACAAATGAATCCAAGTTGGCATTGAAAGGAAGGATTTTGGGGAGGAGACTGAGATTAAGGTCACCAGGGCAGGGCACCCATGACTAAAGGCTGGTGGGTGTATAAGGAGAGAGAAAAGATAGGAACACATGGACACATTCGCGGTTGCTTTTGACTTCTGCCACGTAACCCCAAAGCAAGAAATCCTCACCACACTGTGGCCCCTGGATCTTGGATGCCCAAACCATGAGCTAAACAAACTTGTTTTCTTAAATGATCACAACTGGTATTTTCTGCGACTAGCAACAAAATGACAATTAGAACTGCTTCTGTGGGCAGTAGACCAAAGTCCAAAGTGCTTTAGCAATGTATAAAGCTCTGGGAATGTAGGAAAATGCCCGTGTGCAGAAATAACAAGTAACATTTCTCACTTGCCTGGTGGGATATGGTTCAAAAGAAGAAATGAATCTGAAGTATATGCAATAAAGAGACATGACCGTCCTGCAGTTATTTTTACCTTGCAGCCATTTTCACTCCCATCTGCTAACAAACCTTGATCCCCTTAAGAGGATGCGCATTTCCTCCATTTGAAAAGACCTGGTGGAACTGTCTCTGGATCCAGTTTCTCTTTCTTCCTATAGTAAGGTGGGGAGAGAAAGATCAAACTGGACCAGGTAGATGCTCCCTTGCAGGACTTTGATTCTTGAGGCAAGTGATGCAAATATCAATGAAGAGTTGGGTCTGAGCAACCAGGTTCTAGGAGTAATCAGATGCTGCCACCTAGGTCCTCACAGCTGCTCTGGGTTCTGCCTTTGCAAATCTAGTTCTTTGGGTTTGCCTTTGATGGCAAGAGGTGCTCCATACACTCCATACATTCCTCCTCAAGTTACACAGCCTTTTTGTAGAAATACCAATTATTTTTTATTTTTTAAAAAGAATTTTTTTTTAATTTATTCATTCATTTATTTCATTTTTTTTATTTTGACCAGAGAGGGACAGAGCAAGAGAGAAGGAGAGAGTGGGAACGTGAGAGAGCAAGCCTCCAGGTCCAGGACTTGAACCGTGGTCGACCATGTGGGAGTCCAGTGTCCTTAACCACCACGCCACCTACCGGCCCCAATACCAATTTTTTAAAAAACATTTTTTGTTGTTATTGGTACAACTCTTGAAACTATCAGCTCTAGGGACCAACAGATGGTGTAATAATGATCTCACCGGACTCCTACATAGTCGACCATGGTTCGAGTCCTAGACCCAGTGGCTTAAAACTCATGCCGAGCATACGTGCATGTGTGCCCAAAATTTCAAGAAGAGAATGGAGGAGAACGAATAGCAGCATGGTCATCCTCCCCTCACCCGGGGGTTGATTTCTCACTTTCTGTTTCTGTCTCTCTATCTCTCCCGCAAGCACATGTGCCCTATAGCAAAAATCTCTCTCTCCAAAACAACAAAACAAAATAAAAAAAACTATCAGTTCTAGTAACTTACCCCGTACCACTGGACATAGTTTAGGACTGACAAACTGGTGATGATGGCAGTTGTAGTTGGCCTCGGCTTCCAGCCAACATGTGTATTTAGCTTCACACATTGGCCACTCTAATAAAAAGGGACATGCACTTGCCCTGTCTCAGCCTAAGTGACTAATTCCATTGACTCCCTTCTCCCATAGTCTGTACCAGAGAGGTGGCCAGCTGATCCCAAAGCTCCTGTTCGATGAGATGACGACCGCCTACCTCAATGTGGGCCAAGATAAACCTCATTTTGTTAACCGGCAGTTATCAGAACAGCAGTGTGAACTTATCTTTTGGTTGATGGCTATTGTCAAAAGCTGGGTAAGATCCATCCAAAAGACACTGTTTTATTGATTCTTTTCCCTTTTGTGCCATTTCCTTTCTAAATAAATCTTATCCGATATACTTAAATAGAGGAATTAATTTGTTAAGTTCAGCTTATCAAAAAGTAGGGTTCTGCAACACCAAAAGCAGGATTGATAAAAAAAAAAAATGTGACTTTATCAAAGTTAGAAACTTTTGATCTGCAAATTAAACAAATCCCAAACTGGGAGAAAATATTTGCAAATGACATTATCTTGCAAAGATTCTTATATCCAGAAGATAGAAAAAAACTGAAAACTCATCAACAAGAAAATAAACAAGCCTTCCCAAAAAAGTAAACGAAAGATTTTAACAGACACATCGTCAAAGAAGAATTATGGAAATAACATATTAAAGATGTTCGACTCATCAATCATTTAGAGAAATGCAAATTAAAACACAATTAAATACTATACTATACCTCTATTGAAGGACTAACAACAACAACAACAAAAATACAAAGTACTAGTGATGACACAAAGCAACCAGAAGTTTCATGAGCTACTGTTGCGACTGCAAGATTATACAGACAGTTTGGGAAACAGTTCATCAGTTGTTTTTTTATTTTTTCAATGAAGTTAGACATGTATTTACCAGATGAAACGCTGCAGTAATCTCCTGTTTTATGCAAAAAACTAGCTTATTTATTTATTTTAGGTTTATGCCATAGAGTGTGTGTGCTTGCCAGGCAGAAACCAAGATAGTGAGAAGGACAGTGAGAAATCACCCCCCGGGGGGCATGAATACACCCCAATCCCTTCTCCTTCACTGTTCTCTTAAGATTTGGGGCATGTATGCACACATGCCCAAGATGATTTTCAAGTCACTAGGTCTGAACCATGTGGAATCCAGCACCTTAACCACCATGCCACCTGCTGGCCCCGACAAAGATTTATTTTTACATAAAAACTTTTACATGAATATTCATAGCATTGGAAAGCTAGAGACTATCCAAATGCCCTTCAACTGTTGAATGGATAAACCCAGTGAGATACTTCCATATAGTGGAACATAGTTCAGTAACAGACACCCACTGCTGACATCCTCAGTAGGTTGAGTGAATCTCAAATGCATTTTGCTAAGTGAAAGAAGTCAGATGCAAAAATCTACACAAGTGTGATCTCATTCATATGACACTGTAAAAAAAGCAAAACTATAGGGACAGGAAACAGATCAATGGTTGCCAGAGGCTGGGAATGGGCAGAGGATTGACCACAAATAAGCAGCAGGGGGGAAATTTTCAGGGTCAACAATCTGTTTTGTATCACGATTGT